TATTCAGTGTGTCGTTGGGGTCCTCAAACAATTCCAAGTTTTAGTGAAAAGGATCTCACTAGGCTCAGTAAATCATGGCACTTCAAAGCAACAAGAAAGCTTCAAACAAATAGATAAATGCCCAAATGGTGTTGGACTGAACTACTTGTTGCCAGCTGATGTGGTCAGAAGTATAAAGCAGAAGTTGCGAAGAAAAGCACCGTCAGGTTGCTGGTTTTAGACATGGAGTTATACACCACCCAGAAATTTTATGTTGGCCAATGGTCTAGAGGCCAAGGATCTTGGGCTGAGCAGGTGCCTCAGATGGAAGGCGGATGCAGGAAATATTGATCACCATGAAGAGCAGATCTGATTCAAACTGAAAGTGTGCAATCAATGAACCTTTGGTCGGCTGAATGCTTGCAAAGAAAGACTTGACCAACCACAGCAATGACTTCTGAAAGCCCTATTTTGCCTTAAGCATCTACCTGTACTTCGGGAAGCTGCTCAATCAATCATCACTGAGGCCCAGGAAGCTTGTTTACTTTCCAACACTATGACCAGGCAAGCTTTCATGTTCAAAACATTCAATATGGCTTCATCGGCATCAACATGCCTGCGACTTTATATCTAGATCCGACTGATACAGACATGCAGTGAGTACCTCGCATCCAATGCCCTTGCAATTCTGAGCTACATTTGATGGCCTAGTCTCCCGGTTTGCCTTGAAAGAAGTACATCGATTTATCACACTGGCATTCAACCAGGGGTTTCGCACTGCAATTTTGACAGATCTCCAGTCGCGTTTTGCCACACTTGCGTCACTTGGCCGCCTTTTTAGCCAGAAGCTCAGATTGTGTGTGCAATTGTGGGGACAGATACAGGTTAGCTGTTTGACTAAAGACTACTGTAAACCGTAAACCATTAAAAGAGATCAAACAAACCAAACAGATAGTACATATCACACCATATCACCATAGGATGCCCTAGGACTATGTCATTCACAAAGAAGCCGTTGCGTATACCAAGCTCACAAGGTGGACGGTGCACGCGCCATCCACTCGGTGACGGGGGACGAGCTCATGCAAGTAGCAACAGTAGCGCCGCTGGTCTACGAGTGGAAGGATGTGGAGTGTTTGAAGCAGGTGTGAAACACATCCAACCTTAGCACTGGCCTCTAACCTACTAGCCATGGCCTCCAACCTAGTAGCGATGGCCTCCAACCTAAAAGCGATGGTCAATTCTCAGAGTTCCTCAAAGTCTTTGATCATGGCCCATGTTGGGTGTTTCCCGTGAGATCCCCAGAGACACCTCATGCCTCTTTGGTCCGAGGATCAAGATGGCGGCCTTGGAGTTCCTGGTGAACTGCTGGATTTTTCCACGAAAGACCAACTCGGCACCAACCACTGTGCATGAGCTTTGGGAGGCGCGAACTCCGTGCGAAAGCCATCGACCGGGGCGGGTTATGATAAGAGTGAATAAGAATAGTTGAGCATGTTTTGTCAATGAATATGCTAGGTTGCCAAACTAAAGCAAGCTTGGATGCTTGGACTGAGACCTAGGATTTCAAGCTTTGGAGGAAGTCAGAGGAGAAGCAAAGGAACAGCCAGATGTCAGCTTCTTTCCGGGCAAAGGCCAAGACATGGATCGAGTCATAGGGATGTCGGTCGTGAACAGTTTTCAGACCCGCTTGAACGCCATATGTTTGACCCGTTTGACAATAAGGCCTTGAAAGTGCGCGGTGGCGATGTAGCAACTGCGTTTCTTTCTGCACCTTGGAGCGATTTTTAATATAGTGGCCCAACTTCAGAGACAATAGGAAAAATAGACGAGAGAAAACAAGATTGATCACTAACATGAGTCGTGGTGGTCATGACTTAACTCTCCCTCCAAGAAACATGAAAGTGTACCCCTTCCTCTTTGTATTGCTTTGAGCTTCACACATGGCAGGCAAAAACACAAAACGTTGTACATGAGAGTTTGTTCTCCACATGAAAGCCACTGAATGCAATTGAAAGCACGGAGCAGGAGCCTGTTTGTGCAACGGACAGAGCTGTGCACACGGTGCATGATTATTCTTGAGTAGGACTCTTTGTTTGCATGGATTAACTTCGAACGTGTATTCAGCACAATCTCGCCGTGCCAATTAAGGTTGCCTTGCAACAGGCTGGTTCTTCGTTGTGTTTTGACGTGATGACAAGGCAACGGTACACTGGGTAGGTGCGCTTTGATGATTTGTCCAGGCCAATCGAGACGCTTTGGCCAGCATTCGTAAACAGCTGCGGCACAGCCTCGTGGTCGCAAGAAGCCCAACCATTGACCTTTCTCACGACGCCAGTGGTCAGTGTCGGAGTTGGCAGAAAAGGGCGGGACCATTACAATGGATCAAACGTACACGGGACACTTCCCAAGATAGGTTCTTCAGCTTTGCAGTCGCCGCAACACCTGTAAGGAAATCGGAGGCTTTGGGCTTCTTACCACGAGCTTTTGCCTGCGCTCTGTGGGAAGAGCCTGGAGCAAATGGATACTCAGCTGAGTGGGCGAGCCAAGGTGCAGGAGCTTCAGGACAAGTTGCAAAAGAGTCTAAAAGAGCGACCATGCATAGCAACTTCCAGCGCCCTGAGCCATTCACTGCATCGCTTTGCCCACCCCCCCGCAGGAAATGGTTCTTCATAGAGGCAGGAAGCTGGCCAAGTGGCCACCAGAGCCTGGTTCAAACCAGACTTAAAACCCCTGCACCATGTTTGCAACTTCTGAAATTTGTACAAGCCAAGCATATGGTTCCACTGTTGCTGCCTTGAAAGACCCATGGAATAAACAAAACGCCGTTCGAGACATCGACAAAGCATCCCTCACGGCTCGGCTCCGCTTTGGCTCCGCTTGGGCCGAAATGGCTCTTGAGGCTCCCGCTGCCGCAGCGCCCAAGTCCGTGCGGCGCTGCACGAGTTGCCGCAGCGGCTTTGTGCGGCAGAGCAGAAGGCCCTGGAGAAGCGCGTGGCTCTGAAAGAAGCCCAGACAGCGGCAGTCCAGGCGCCGTGTTAGAACAAAGGGATGAAAGCTGTCGGCAGAGACAAAAGGCTTCTACTTGCAGGGGACTCTCCAAATCTGGTTGGTTGACCTGCTCAAGGCCCATATTTCATGTTTGCTTGAATATCTCGAAGTGAAAGTTGTTTTGACTTATTTGTTGGCGTCCTGATGGATTGAAAAGAATCTTACCTCGACGGTGTGTATTTTGCCATTCAGGAAGTTTATGTTGGTGGGATTTGGGTTTCGTGCTCCAACTTTGATGATGTGATGGTTGCGGAGGGGTGATGCACGTTTCCTCTTCTCGAGCTAGTCGTGTTCGCTGTTTGCCTCAGACCAATGCTGAAGTTTTTTGCCTTTATGTACCCGGACAAACGACTAGGCCCAAGTCAAGCACCAAAATATAGGCACATGTAAAGTTCCAAATGTGCAATGCCACACAAAGACGAGCACAAGCAGTGAAGCGTCAGATGATTTAGCACATGCAAATATTTGATAGTGTGTGCATGTCCAAAGAGTGTAAATACTTATCCTGACACTGCCATTGTTTGAAAGACTCACTTTGCACACACCACCATGAAGCTGTTGTTGCACATGAACTCTAATCGAATCTAATCTAATGCTCACAGATTGCAAACTGCCGTGCAGGCCAACAAGTGTGCATTGACAGTTGCAACCATATGGTAACAAAACGCAATCTGAAGCTAAAGTTTGCAAAGCGTGGTAAGGACGAGCAAATCTTGAGTTCAAAGCCTTCGGGTGCTGAAAACGCTGCCACATACGTTGAATTTGAAGTTTAGGGTCAAAAGAACAGTGATAACTTCAGGACAAATGAATTCCATGCAAAGTGTAAAGGTTTGAAGTTGAAGCCATTATTAGGTGATTGTGTTCCTGAACAGTGTTGCTGTCGATTTGAGCAGTTCGAGCAGCTCCAGGTCTCGAAAGACTGGACGAACGCCGTCCGGCGGCTGAAGAAAGCAAAACTGGAGAACGATCTCACTAAGCAACTGAGCGAGCAGAAAGTGACGAGAGAGCTTGCCACTTTGGTAAGCGCCAAGAAGGACAGGAAAATCGCAGCATCAGGGGATGTGCGAAGGAAAGATGAAGCTTGAACACAGGTGAACGTCTTGCAAACCTCAAGATTCATCCATTTTGGGGTTGCAACATGGATACAACTCTAAGGAGTCCTATAGTTTTGTTCTATAAACTATCCACAGATGGTACTTTGTCACAAACGACAGGATAGGTCAGGCAGCTTAGCTGTCATAGCTCTCCAGGAGGAGGTCGCCAGGCTTGCGCAAGAAGTGCAGCAAGCAGAGGAGGCTCCGAAGCGGCGCCGAATGTGTCTTGAACTCTTTGGGAATCGATGCTCCAGGTTCGTGTCATTCTCTCTCTGGCTGGAGTTAAATCTAGATATATACTTATTTGATCTTATTTATATATATATATATTATTGGCCCCAGCAATGGAAGCAATGCCAAAGGGGGGCTCCTTTCCAAATTGCAACGCAGAAACGGTGTGGGACTGTGGAATCAATGTTTGGCAATTTAGGAGGCCGAGTCGGAGCAGACAATGCAAGGGTTGGAGCCTTACATCAGAACCTGTTTTCAGCAGGCCTTCGACCAGTTCGATCTATACAGCAGTCACTTGACGTGAGGCCAGCAGATCGTCTTGCACAGGCAGGTGGCGCTTTGGAGTGAGCAAATTCAAAGAGTGCAACGCACAAGTGAGCAAAAGCTTTTGAGACAATAGTCACTAGTCTTTGAGCATATTCTTATAGTTTCTTTACGATATTCTTTATCAAAGAACAATTGTCCTACCGACCTTAGGATGCATCTGGGGCGATCACACAATCCGATGATGCCGAGCAAGCATGGCAAGAAGCCGGGCAGTCCAGACCATGCCTGTAGGACCACAGCAATTGAGCTCTAGGATTGTGTTCTGGACTCATTCCGGTTGCAGATGTCGGCCAGATATGCAAGATTCTTGATGTTCGGAGCTTTTGGGCTTAAGCCGTTCTTTCCTATTTGTCCTATCTTAGATCGGACAGGTGGAGCACCACACTTTTTGGGGGAGCCTTTGCACTCAACCAGAATGAACTTCAGCTGTTCGATTGCAGCTTTGCTCTCTGCACTTGGCCTTGTCGGCTTGGTCAGCCTGGGACATGTCTATCGGCATCAATTCCAGTTCCTTGGCCGCCTTGGCCAGCCAGTGGACGAGGAAGCTGAATGGCCAATGAAGAAGTGGCATGAGAAGTGGCACAAGTCTATGGGCGAGCGCTGGATGTGCAAGGAGAGGTGCGCTGGAGATGAGGAGTCCAACTTGTGCGACAAAAGCATGTGATTGCACAAATAACTTTGCGTCTCCTGTAGGTGGAACGTGGTGGAACGGTGGAACTGGGTTGACTGCCTAAACTCGTGTGCCATTGGAAAAAGGTTCAATCTAATTGATCCTGGCTACTGTGGTTTGAGGTTTATCCTTAATGCCTAGTTGTGGACACCCCTTTCACGAATGAGTAAACCATTGTGCAAGGAGTGTATCTCCAAATGCCCAAAGCCATGGCTCCACATGCAAGAGAAGTGTGCAGAAGGCATGGGCATCGTCAAGTGCCACCGCATGTGTGGCGATGACCTGTGTCCTGGTTTGGTTGATTTAAGGGTGCAGGCAATGGAATCACCAGTAAGTCTGTTGCTTCTCCGTAGCCTTCGTGAACTCTTCAGTGATTCAGGGTACAATCAGTTGTGTCGTTTGTTATGTGCAGTTGTTTCCTAACCTGGAGCAGGGCCGCGCACAACTCAGGCAGTGCCACAACACTTGCCCTTTGCCAAAGTGCCCTAAGATGGCGGCGAAAGTGAAGGGCATCATGCAGTGCAATGTGGATTGTGGCTCGGACCTCCAATGCCGGGAGGTTTGCAACCGCCCGGTAGTGAAGTTTGTGCAGAAGTGTGGGGTCCTCACCAAGTCGGGGGATTGCCACAAAATGTGCGGAAGAGACCGTGCTTGTCATGAGCAGTGCCCCAAGGTTTTCCCCGAGGCTCTTCCTGTAAACCCTGACGTCAAGCCTGACTTCCAGCACTTTCAGCCTCAGCCTCCGCCTGCCGAGATGATGGCATTGAGGTTCCGGGCATGCCAGGCCAGATGCAGTGGAGACGTGGGATGCATGGAGAAGTGTCCCAAGCCTTTTTGGCTTCAGTTCCAGAAGACGTGCCACGAGATGGTTCCCATCATGGAATGTCATCGCATATGTGGTCGTGACCATGAATGCCACAAGACCTGCCCACTGCCAAGCTGCCCACACATGAGGGCAAAGATTGAGGCATCCCTGCAATGCCATGGACACTGCCAATGGGATCGTCAGTGTCATCACCGGTGCCCCAACCCCATGGCTGGTCTCCAGATGAAGTGCCAATCCTTTGAGGAAGCACAAAAATGCCATGTCATGTGCACGGACCATGAGTGCCACCACCAATGCCCAAAGGCGGGTCTTTGGAAGCTTTTCCATCATGGACATGACCATGGCTACCACCATGGCTTCCACCACGACCATGGCTTCCACCATGAGCACGGCTTCCACCACGACCATGGCTTCCATCACGACCATGGCTTCCACCACGACCATGGCTTCCACCACGACCATGGCTTCCACCATGAGCACGGCTTCCACCACGACCATGGCTTCCACCATGAGCACGGCTTCCACCATGAGCACCACGGCCATGATCACTTTGACCACCATGCTGAGCAACATGGTGGACAACAAAAGGACCAAGAACCTATGCCGCCCATGCCGCCCCTTTCCTTGCGAGGATCGCAGCCAGAGATTCAGGCATTCATCACTTGTCGTGACAAGTGTCACGGTGACATGGGGTGCTGGAAGATGTGCGACTCTACTTGGTGGGAATTGAAGAAAAGCTGTGCAGAGGTGGGGCCATCGCTTTTAGGTTGGAGGCCGTCGCTAGTAGGTTGGAGGCTTTTGGGTTGGAGGCCATGGTTTTTAGGACAAAACCTGTGCAGAGGTGGAGCCAATCATGGAGTGCCACCACAAATGTCACCACGATTCCTCCTGCCACCGCTCCTGTCCTTATCCTTCTATGCCGTGGCTCCATGAGAAGGTGGTCGCATCCATGCATTGCCACCATGAGTGTGGCGCAGATTTCGGATGCCACCGCAACTGCAACTGGGCTCAGTGCAGAGTGTCAAGCAAGTTCCTTTCATTCCCTTTCCTAAACCTCGAAAGACTATTTCACTTGATTTCTTCATTAAATCATCAGGAAACTGTGGCGCTTCCGAGAGGGTCTTTTTCCAGATTCAGCTGCACAACCTGCCCTCCCCTCACAAAATGATCCGGGCACGTTCACACAAATTGTCCACATATAAATGGTTTAATGAACACCTTGTTGGCCTGTCCCTAGTGCCCACTTGCAAGCGGTTGACAGCGCAACGGATCACAAAGATGTAACAATACAATACAATACATTTACAATATTTACGCACAAAGGATCACAAAGGGCTGCAAGTAGCCTTTAATTGGTAGACAACAGCACATTGCTCGTTTGGTCAAGCGGCATCCAGACAATCCGTGAGTACACGAATCGTTCGAGCTAAGGCAAATGCCCCTTTGGTGAGATGAAGGAGAAGTGCTCCTTGTTGGGACCAAATGTTGGTGAATGGAAGAAGGTGACCACTGTCAACGTCTAACATCCCATCACTTCAAATGGGTCCTGAAGACCTTCATTGGCCTCGACTGATCGAGTGCTCGGCACAAATGCAATGTACAGGAGGACGTCACTCCGACAGGCGCAGCTGTAGTGAGCAGCATCGTGCATGTCTCTTGGTAGCTCTTCATCCGCCTCGCATTGGTGTCAATAGGTCAGTGGGCGAGACTTAGAACGTAGAACTGCAGACCTGAGTGAAAAAGACTCGCAGTGTCGCTGTCAAGCTCTTTGAGAAGCAAGATGCCTCAAGTGAACCCTGATGAACCAAGCCTATCTTGACTCAATCAGGTGATGTCCAACGTACCAGCAGCACTATGGGAGTCTGAAGCTCAGGCACTTGGATTTGAAGAGCTGTTCATCACAGTTGAGGGTCTGGAGCTGTTTTGTCCCGCGAAGGGAGGACTGATGATAGGGACATAGAGGGACTAAAGTTTCATCCGCGGTAGGTGATGAAACCTGCAAGTTGCAGGCAAATGTGGCAGCTTATCGTGAGATTATACTGCAGCTCACTTGACCAGAGCATGAGGTATGGATATCCAAAGGCCTTGACCTTCTCCTTTGAGGCCACGAAAGATGCTGAACATGATGACACAAAGTTTCCACAAAGATTATCACCACCAAAGCGAATCATGTTTTTCCTGCTCTCAGACAACATGGCTACCGTTATATTGAGTAGATCTTGTGGGAAAATGCGGCTCATCCACTACAACATAACAAATCATGAAGAATGCACTGAAGAGGGTCAGCTTCAACGACCGCTATTCTCGTAGGTCGTGTTACAGAAGTTTACAGTACATCATCCTACTTGTAGTTCAATTCAATAGTTCAATGCTGCCAGATTCCCACGCTCGGCCAATGGCATGCAGTCGGAATGGCTGAGGCGTGGCAAAGTTGGCTGCAGAGCAATCAGTCATCTATTGTCGTTTTATGATGTATGCAATAAGATGGAGCCCACGAACCCGAATGCAAACACGTTCAAAAAGCTACACATGTCCAAATGAAACTGTTGTAGGACACTCTTGTGGGACACTCTTCTGGGACACTCTTGTGGGACACTCTTGTAGGACACTCTTGAAGGAAAC